TATTATTATTATAATTAAAATTTTAAATTTATATAAAAAAAGAATTAATATAAAACTATTATCTATTTATAATAAAGAAAATAATTTTTAAATTAGAATAATTATAAATAAACGAATTATATATAAAAAATTTAAAAATTTATTATATTAAAAGAATTAAGATTATAAATATAATATATAATATATAATTAAGAATTTATTTAATATAATAAAGCTAATAAATAATTATAATTATAAATTAATATTTATTTTATTTATTAGATAAAAAATAGATAAGAGTATTAGAATTATATAAATATTATAATCTATATAAGTATTATAATCTATATTTAAAAGAGAAAAAAAAAGATTATATAAAACTTTATTAACTAGATAATAATCTATATTAAATTATTTTTTAAATTAATAAAAAAAACTTTTAAAGTTTAAAGCGAAAGACTTTTACTACTTACTATATATTTAATTTATATATTTATTATATTAATAAAATATCTATTTCTACTATTATCTTAATAAGAATTAAATTTATTTTTTCTTTATTAATATCTAATATAATATTATAAAAGTCTTCTATAGAAATCTCTAATAAAATTATTTCTACTAAATCTAAAAGACTTAGAGAGTCTAGATTAAATATATATTAGCGTCTTTAAGTATTCTCTATTAAAGTAGATTTCTAGATAGTAAGAATATATCTTCTTTTTACATTATGACTTAGTTCATAATAGTTTACTTATTAAAGATCGCTTATCTATTTACTCGACAGTGTTACGAGCGTACCCTTGACACACTACTTAGCCCTATGGCTAGCGGGCCTTGGCGGAGGCATCCTCTATTATATTATACCTCCTTTCCACCTATATAATTCGATAGTCTTATTATTCTTAATCTATCTCACCTATACTAATATCGCATCTATACTAATTCTGATATTATAATAAAGCTTCTTCATACACCCTCCAACGAAGAGAATTAATAGGTTTTTCACTTTCTACTTAAAATAAGCGATCAAGCTTAATAAAGAAAACGCTAGATATTTCTACTATATAGAAGTCTTATTATATATTTAAATTATTAAATATCTATATTATTTAAAAGAATCTATATTAAATAGTCTATATTATTAATAATAGTCTAATTTATTAACCCTATATCGAATATAAGAAATCCTTCTTTACTTTATATTATAACTTATTTAAATTTTAACTAATCTCTTAAGTAGAGTAATATTACTAAAAAGAGTTATACTCGAAATATTTATAATCTTTATAACGATCTAATTAGTTAAGAAACGAGTATTATAAACCTTTATAAAGAAATAATACTATTTCGAGCGTTATAATTAAATTTCGACTCTTAATATAGAGATCTATTAAATTTCTCGACTCGCAAACATCTTTATAATATTAGAATTTCAGAGATCTCTTCGCTTTACTTTATTTTTACCTATATTTAATATATTATAAATTTCTTAAATTCTTACTTAAATTCATCTATATTAATATTAAAATACGTCTCTTCATATCGCCGATCATCTATATACTAAGACTATCTCTATCTTATATATAATAATTTATATATAAAATATTCGCCTTTAAATTCGTTATAACTCTATATATTATATATATAGCACTCTCTATCTACTAAGAATCTTTATTAATAATTTTATATTAAATAAGAGAAGATACTAAGATAATAATAGAAGATATAAGATTAAAACTCATCTAAGATCTCTATTCCACCCCTATTCTTATCTTTATTCACTTTATAAGATTTCGAGATATTTAGAGTATATTAATATTAATTAATCTCTTTATAGCTAATTAGATAGTTACTTAATTTAAAACTATTAAATTTATCTATCTTTATAAGCACTAATTTAATATTATTCGATAATTAGAAAATAAAAATTTAAGATAAGCTTACTTATAATAATAATTATTTTCTTATTAATATCTTTAAAATTATTTATATTATAATAAGACTTAAAGAGAAAGCTAATTAACATATATCTATTAAATAACAATATCGCTTATACTCTATAGTTGATAATCTTTTAAATTATTTAAGCAATATATATAAGATATTCTTATTTATTTTTAAAAGAATCTATTAATATACTTATAATAAAATAAATTAAGAAAGTTAATTATTTCTTAAATTCTATAATAATCTTATTAAGTATATTAAATATAATTTTAGAAATAATAGTCTTAACGATCTTAGAAATAATAATCTAATAAACGATATACGAAAGAAATCAAAACTTCATTTCTATAACTTAATTCGTCTAATAATAAGAGATTAAACTACGCCTTAATTAAAGAAATATATTATAAAAATATAGCTTAAATATTAATAATTTATTAAAAAATTTACTAAAAAGAAAGTTAAAAGATTCGCGAAGTAATATATAAAAGTAAAGATTAAGATTAACGTAAAGAAGAGTAAATACTTAATTATAATTCGCCTTATTTTTAATATAAAGAATTTAAATTTTATTAAGATAGAGAATCTTATAAATAAGAATTAAGTTTATATATAAAAGTATAATAAATACTTCGAACTCGATATAAATTTCGATAAAGTATATAAGTTTAGTTACTAGGGCTTTCTATAAGCGACTCGATAATATCTTAGATATCGCGTTTTTAGTCGAATTAAAATCGTTCGATATCTTCGCCATAGCCTTATTTTTTTATATTCGCGAATCAATTTCTTAGGCCTATATTGCTTAATAATAACTTCATATTAAGCCTATTAAATAGATTTCCCTTATTAACAAATATCTAAGTATTCTTCGAAGCCATAATACGTTATCTATAAACCTTACTACCTTCGTTAATAGCCCCCATCGATATCGATTATATAGCACCCTATAAAGAAACTCACATTAGAATTATTTAATATTAATTTAGAGTTTTAGCGCTTACGACTCGATTTAATTTAAAAGACCTTAATTAATTAAATTATATTATTTTATCGATTTCTTCTCTATTATAAATATAAAACTAGATAATTATCGTATAGCAAATTATTTTTCGATTATTATCTATTTAATTCTTTATAAATTCTCATTAAATTAAAAGTCTCTTAACGCTATAATAAAGTGCAAAATAACGCGCTAGCGAAATCTCCGAGACGCGATATTACTATCACTATCGTCGTTAAAAAAAAATATTAATTTAACCTAGTATATTAATATTAAAAATTCTTTATTTTTATAGATTTTTAGCGAGTATAAAATATATATATACGATAGAATTATTTACTTCTTTTAAAGATCTATAACAGATAGACTAAATAAGAGAAGAATTTAAAGAATTTTATCGATACGTAGATAAGATATAGCTATATCTTCAAGATCTTAATTATCTTCAGCTAAGGCCTATATCAACTATAGATATTTAAAGATATAAGATAAGTAATAAACCTATATCTCGGTCTACTAATTATGAGAGTTATGGCTATTTAAGAGAGAGGAATAATATTATAAGCGTACTCTTAATATATCACTTAGCTCTATAACTAGCGAGCCTTAACGAAGATATCCTCTATTATATTATACCTTCTTTCCACCTATATAGTTCGATAGTCTTATTATTCTTAATCTATCTTATCTATATTAATATCGCACCTATACTAATTCTAACAGATAGCTCTAATTAATTAATTTTTTATAAATTTAATTTATAGACCTTTACTCGTAATTAATATAAAAGAATTATTACTAATATTAAAATTAACTTCTTATTAATTAAATTTAAATGAATTTATAATTAATTAACTTTTTAGAAATCTATTATTACTATAACTTCTCTTTTTTCTATTAAAATTTTACTATATTTTTTTCTAAACTATAAAACTTATTCTACGCTTTCTAATAATTTAAGATTTTTAAAATTCGATCTTATAGTTCTAGATAAATCTTAAATTAAAGTATTTTCACTCTTTAAGAATTAAATTTAATCTCGATATTAGAAAAAAAAAATTAATTACTTTTTATAAATCTAATTTATAGGCCTAAACTTATTATAGAATAAAGATTTAATAAATTCTTAGATCTTTTAAGATAGTCTTAGCGATAAGAAAATAGCCGAGGTAAATTTTTCAATTTCGCGATATATTCCCACTTTTTATATTTTACTTATAAGATTAAAATCTAAATCTTTCTAAAATTTAGAGATAGATTAATTAATATAATAAGTAGATATCGTAAAAATTTTAGACTGTAAAAACAAGTGGTGGTGAGGTTATACAGGAAAATTCAAATTTTTGATTTTTGATTATGGGGGGGTGCCAAATTCGCAGATTTTTTTTTAGTTTCTCAATGATTAAGAAAACAGGGGTAACCTAGCAAATCCAGCACTGATCGCGAGACACATTTAGCACTGGACATGCATTTCCACTACAGATATGTATCAGACACCATATATATTTGTATGGACAAAAGTTTCTACAGGAAATTTCTACTTTTGCACGTAGCACCGTTGCGGGTAAAGTTGGTAGAAAACACATAATCTTCACTTTGACTTCGAGCGATAGACTGCTAGAACGAATCTAGATAAGGTGCATACATTCGGTTCTGCCAGCATTCCACTCACCTACATCATCCAAGCAGGATGACGCTGGCTCCGCCAAGGCCAGGGTATGTGCGCCTCCAGTAAAGCCACGAACACAAGAAAAGGGGGTGCTACATATATTCCAATGCATGCCGATGGGGACTGACAAAGTAAGGGAGTCTGCCCTCATAAGTCGTCCGAATCGCGAAGTCCCTTCTGATGGCCTTGACTCTGCAGTCAAAGTATAAACGAAACCTCGTACCTTCGTCTCACATCGTTTTGTTCGGGGGTAGTGCACTACCCCCGAACAAACCGACCTATTATACAAGAAGAGGTGCGCAGAGTAGAACACATTCGAGATACATTCGAGATACATTACTGACAGAGCGCTGGAGAAGGACGGGAATCGTTGTCGTGATAGAGCTTCACCCCGCGATGTCACGTGCCATCAGGATTCGTGACCTGGCATAATGTTAGTAACATTGTACATCCGCGGCAGAAGAGCATACATACCTTTAATATCCTCCTCGAGTAATCTTGATTGTCTGCTATGCTGCCATCACTTTGCCGCCTCTGCATCATGACTGAGGGCTCTAGCCTGGCATCCGACACTGACCCAGCAGAACTAGTCGGGGGCTTCGCACCGTAGTCACCCGCCACATTGCGACGATACTCCGCTTCAACTGCTCGTCTCTTGCGATTTCGGAGGAAGAAAAAGATCCCTCCAGCTATAGCACTTATAGCGACTACGCCGGCGACCACGCCGGCCGCAATGCCAGCTTTATTGGGCCCACTCGAGGAAGGAGCTTGTGTCGTGGTAATGATCGTCTCTTGTGGGGTGGTTTGACCGGCGGCAGTCACTATGATAGTGCTAGCCTTGGTGACGACGGACGGAGGCCCTTTTTTTGTTGGTGATGCTGCAGCTGATGACGTCGACGACGATGAGAATGCTGCACTGCCATTTGAATCCGAATCCGAATTCGAAGTCGAACTGGAATCCGAGCTCGACTCTGAGTTAGAGCTTTGGCTCGCAACATTGTTATTCACTCCAGTTAGCTGGACGGACCAAGAGCTGGGCCCGCCACCTGTGACACAGTCAGCAACAAGTAAAACGGCGGTCTTAGCTGCAACTTACATGTATCCAAGTTGTACCCATAACATTTTGAGCTGCACTCAGAATCTGAGACTTTGCTGCTCGACGCCGGAAGCAGATCACCACACCAGCAATTAGATCCCAGGGTTGTGCCCATCACTGCCTTGGTTTGGTTGACACATTGTTGTTGGCAGTATCCTGGCGACTGATACATGTACGAGCCTAGATCCGTCATGCCGGCCGACGAAGTAAAACAACCCTCATAGACCGGAGGCTCCAGACTAGAGGAAGACTGCGCAAATACCAAAGGAAAAGCGTAGAACAGAGGCAAGGCCGTCGCGACGGCCCTCAGCGATGCCGACTTCATGTTCTTGTTGGTATGGGTGGGTTAATTATGAATGATTATTATCAAAAATCTATCGTGGAGTGATGGGTCAGTTCAAATATTCAGCACATGGTGTTGTAGTATGACTTATCGAAGACAAACACAATCTTGGATGGGCAAATCTACCTTGATTGTCCTCGAGAAATAGATGACGCTGATTGTGCAAAGACTCAACGAGTGAATAATGCTTTAGCTGGTTGCGTGGCACAATGAAGGTCACGAGTTCTTTGTCCAAGCCCACACAAAGGCTATCCGACCTCTATCGTTCTCTGTGGACTGACGAAGGAGCTGCGATGTCGGTGTTAAAGGTCGATGTCGGTTGGAGATTCCCAAACTTCAAGTGAGATGAACAACGCGTTATCCAGAAGCCAAGAACTGCCAGCAGCCCTTTGATTCTGTGCGTGAGTGCGTGTGACTCGAGTTTGAAAGATCGGGAATTGTCGCGGTGGATGGACTTTCGGTGACCGGAATGTAGGTAATTGTTTCGAATTAAAGCTTTTTGCGACCCCTAAGCAAGGCGAGGACGTAACGACAGTGGGCAATGCTGCAGAATGATTGAAATCAGCAGGTATCGCTGAGGAATAGCATTGATGGGATTAGTGTGAACGGAGGCCGTTCAACTCGTCCATTTGCATACTCGCTGGAGTGGTTGAGGAGAGTGGTAGTAATAGTAGTAGGAAAGAGGAGAGGCGGATTTGTTGGCAGGAGACGGGAGAAGGAAAGGTTTCTGGCCGGCGCTAAGAAAATCTTGAGGTTGCTACTCGTAGTCAATCATAATTTCCTTTCAAGGGACGGCGTCCAATGAATGTTTACGCGCCAACGTTTTGGAGCCTGTTGCCCGTTTCGAGATGGTGCGACCGTTTTAAGCTATATAATGGCTTGATAATAGTGGACCTCTTTGTTCTGCGCTGCTCTGCTGAGACTCGAGATACCGCACTACTTTGGTTGGTGCATCCAATTTTGGGCCAGTTCACCGTAAGCTAGAAGCACCCAACCGCTAATGCCCAGATAGCCAGCCTGCATTATTGTTGATTGTTACTGTTGTACAGTACTATGTCAATTGCAAGGCCGCAAGCGTTGAGTGCCACCCAGGTAATTGGTCTGACAGGCCTTTGTCCGCTTGTTTGGCGTCAAAGACAAGCCGTTCTATTCAAGATGTGCTTGACTCAATATTCGCACTAGAGCTTCAATGCATTGAGGTTCGATATAGATGAATGGTTATTATACAGCAGATCTTGACAATCTCGACCATCTAATAGTAATACCTCGGCTCGTCAAAGACGTGGTATTGATGACCTCGCACTCCTTCACCTCGGAACATTGCAGGGAAACGCAAACCCTCAGCAACCTGTTCTTCCGGAACCCGTTCATCGCTGCCTTCTGCTTCACCAACAATGAACTTGCCCACCTGTAATGGCCATGATTAGCAGCCACGGTTGAAACGGTCAGGGAGTGCGAAGCCTGGTTGCTTACCTGAATCTCTGTGTCCGTGATAGTCGACCTACTCACTCGAGCATATCCTGACCTCTTGATGCCCTTGTATAGTATATACTCGCACCATCGATCCCAATCACTTGGGTCAATGTCCTTCATTCCGCTCTTGTCGCCCACATAGGTATTGTAGTTCCCTTCCTGCGGCTTGATGACCAGGTAGCTCAGCAAGATCAAAGGCCTCGGCGATTCTTTCATGAGTTTTGCCAAATACTCAGACTGCTGTCTTCTGTCCTCCGGATCCTCTTCCTGACCCGAATGGAAGACAACAACATCAATGTGCTCGCCGTAAGCATCGAGTGTCGCATGTATGGCCGGAGCTAATTCCCCAACCGGTGATGGAAGTAAATGGTGTGTTGAATTCAGGATGGGGAATTTGGAGAGAAGTGCTGAGCCCCAGGTATGCTTGTTTGGACCCGGCCCAAAGTCGACGTACATCCCTAAGTCTTCGGCCAAATATTGAGTGGTATCTCGGTTGCCCATGATGATTCGCTGAAGGTCCGTCTCTATGAGCCCGATCACGTCGACCTCGAGTTCTTTGATCAGATCGCGTATTCGTCGCTCGGAAGACCACATATCATTGTCAAGGGAAAAGTGAATTGTCCAAACGCCCGCAGTTATGACCTTTTCCTCTTTATGGTAGGGAGTATAGTCGTTGGTTGGAAAGCGAAGGTAGGATACGGAGATAGCAAGCAGTTCAAGGACCATTAGAGAATAGACGTAGTAGGACTTGAACCTACTTCGCCCATTCCTGTTTGATCTTTGGCGCGACTTGATATTCTCCTTTGATGCTGGCATGGTATAGATACCCGCACCGATGAAGACTACAGTTGCCGTCATGACCCAGTCGGTGTGCTCGCGCATGAGAGGTCCTCCAGGTACAAAGGCGTAGGCAACCACCCACACATGTGCAAGCACCAAAATGTTGTATATCAAGAATCCTAAGCCAAACGCCGCAGGACCGCGACGAGCGGCTGACCCAATTAAAGAAGGGGCGAGGGACATCAACTCGATAGCCATTAGTACGGCACCAAAAAAACCTGTCCAGTTGCTATAGCTTGTGAGAAGAAAGGCTCCACTACCGAGCAGAGAGAAGTTACGCCAACTTGAGGCTCTTTCTTGAAGCCAAATGAAGAGGAGTACACCACCACCCATAGCAAGAAGCGTAACGACTCCATTGGCTGCGATTGGCCCTCTGACTGGAAAGCCTTCCCAAACCCAAAGGATCATGGTGCTAGAGTCCGACAATAGAGAATGCATACCAAAGAACAAGCCACCGAGACCAAGGCCGGCTAATATGTGAGAGCTGGCTGGGCTACCCATGGTCTCGAGGCCCCCTCTGTTGTCTGTGGTTTGCCTAGTCGAGCGTAGAATAGCTGCCAATGCTAAGAAAAGGCCTAATTTGTTCCAGCCGCCGTTCTCGGCATGCATAATGGGCCAAATTGGGTTGTTGGTGTGCGAAGCAAACTTCGTCAGACTCGAGGCTAGCAAGCCAATACTCCAGGCTAACACTCGTGCGTCAAGGCGGGCAACTTGGGATCTTTCGGCGTACCATGTAGCTGACCAGGCTAGGCAGGTCATCGAAACACCGAAACCCACAGCAAATAGACGAAACTCCGGAGTCTTGACGAGATAGGCCAAAAGGCCTGTGAGAGATAGAAGATGGACGTAGCGAGTGTTTTTGATGACGAGGGAGCGAACGGATGACGAGCAAAGCAAGAAAGGAGAGATGGTGCACATGACCATGACCTCGTAACCTGAAATGCCCATATGCCAAAGTGGAAAGTCTAGGAGTCTTCAGTAATGGCAACCCTGAACAGCGCTGGAGGCTGGACTCACACCACACGGTAAGCCCGAGAGACGTCAACATCGACCAGAAGACGAACTTCAGAATTTATCAGCGTAGTCACTACGGGAATACCTCGTAATGTTGGACTTACTCCATTGTATATATCAGCAGCAGCGTCAACTGCTTCGGACCAGAAAAAGCCCGAGCCAAATATTTGCCCAGCAGGTTTGCCTTTCCTGATAGAAAATGAGATACACATTCTGAAGGGATTGTGGTATACGTACTCTTTCTCCAACACAGCATCAGAAACCCGAAAATCCTTACTGTTTGACCAAATTGTCAGACCGATGCCCATGGGAAAGCAAAGTCATCTCCCTACATTTGCGTACTTGGGAAGCCAGTAGACATACCCTCTGCTAGATCCTTGGACGTCTCTGATCACAACTTCGAAGCCTTGGAAATCTAGGGCCGTGACAGCGTCGAATCCTACATCCAGGAGTATAAGAGCCCATTCAAAAAAGGCGTAAGTAGTATAGGCTTGTAGGGGTTAGCAACTACCCTAATATGAAAGACAAGAGCAAATCTGACCTCCCGCAACTCTGTGAACTTTGTGCTGAATGAAGAAGTAGATCAGAGGCACCAGAGTCCCGAAAAATGTTCCGGCTAGGATTTTCCTGTATCTCAAAGCCTTCGAATTCTCTTTTGGACTGAGGGCTATGCAGCCCAAAGTCCAGGGCAATGTAGCTACCAAGTAGGATATCATGAAGACGTCGTGCCACCCATGGTCATCCGTAGAAGTCACGTACGTCCATCCACCGCACGTTAGTGTACGGAACAGGCCGGTACCTGCCACAAAAATTGGCAGGACCGAGTCGGGGCGTGCTGTCAAAATATACCAGAGAAATACTAAGGCAAAACGAGGACCTGCGCGTCCATTATTAGCCCAGAAATTTCGGACAGCTCGAGAAGAGAGAGCGTACCAGAAGTCATGGCAATGAAGATCTGAAATACTGAACGCTCCGGATACCTATCTCCAATGGTGGCAGAGACCGAAGGAAACCATTCATCCGGGTAGCCCTTGAGCAATGGGTCAGCTTGAAGAGAGCGGGCGAATTTTTGCTAGGTTGACGACGTACATAGTACTCATTCTCCACGATCTTGTGATAATGGAGGTATAAGCCCGTGACCAAAGCGCCGAGAAAAGCAGTATATGCCACCACTGTATGAGCCCAGGAAATCCAGGCTCCTGAAAACATAACGCCTTCCTTAGACTTTGGCGGCATGTTTGATTAGTCCTTATGGAATACCACAGAGAACCATTGGTCAAGAGACAAGGATAGATTGTGAGACAAAGATCTGACAGTGACCAGAGGACGGAGGAATGAGCGTGAGATGAGAGTTGTGGCTGGTCAGCTCTTCTCATGAACGAACGAAGCTGAGCTGTTGCTAAGAAAACAAATCGTCGCGGCAAACCACCATAACCTTGGCAATCCTCTTATTGACTTCTTGCCCTAACGCTCTACTACTTTGGGATCTACTATGTGATTCTGTTCCATGCATTAATCTTCGT